TGCCCACTGTCCCTCTCCCGGTCCCTGCCGCCCTGCCCAGCCGTCCCTCTCCCGGGCCCTGCCTCCCTGCCCAGCCGACCCTCTCCTGGTCCCTGCCGCCCTGCCCACTGTCCCTCTCCTGGTCCCTGCCGCCCTCCCTGGTCCTCATCTCCCCAGCTCTCTCCCTCTCCTGGCGGGGGGCACCCATGGAGCTCCGGACCCTCACCCATCCCTGCCTTCCAGAACTTTCCCTTCCCGGGCTGCCCCCACATCCACTCTCACACACATTTGCTCACATCTGTGGCGTGCACACACACACAGGATCTCAGGCACACTCACCTGCGACCCCGTCTCACAGCCGTGTGCCTCACACCTGCCCTGCACGTGGGTCCACACGCCCACACACTGCTGACCTGCACCGTCTTCACTGTGGACTTGGTGTCTTCCATTTCCCAGTTTGTGGACGTCCAGCCCAACGACGGCTTTGGGACAGTCCTGCCCCTGGAGGCTCTGCAGCTGGACGTGATCTTCCAGCCCACCAAGGCCAGGGAGTACAGCTTCGAGCTGGTCTGCAAGTCGGAGGTGAACAGGTGAGCCTGCCGCCCGGCCCCCACGGGGGGCAGCCGAGAGCCCATGTGCGACTTTCACACGCTTGACACACTCCTATTTTTCAATTAGTTGAATACTAATAATCATGTGACTATGTCCACCCAGAGCGATATTTTTTAATATTTAGAGCCTGTGTCACAGATTATTGGAATGTTTCAGCAACACATTTTCATTATAGAACAAGATGACAAGATAATCAGTACCACCCTTTAAAGCATAAAAAGGAACGCATCCGGGGCTGGGAACACTTGCCTGGCAGGCACTGGGCCCCAGGTTCAAACCCCAGCACCCCCCACACACCACGGGATAAAAGCTACGGGGGAAGCCAGGCGTGGAGGCGGCACCTGTAATCCCCGGGCCTCAGAAGACGGAGGCAAGAGGATTGCAAGTTCAAGGCCGTTCTCACACCTTAGCAGGACCCCACCTCAAAAGTGGCCAGGCTGGGGGTGGAGCTCAGCGGTAAGGCACCCCCCAGGTTCAAATAAACAAGTAGGTAAATGCTGATGGGGAAAGTGCTGTGGCCACAGAAGCACAAAGAAAACACGGACGTGAACTCTCCCCGTGGTCAAAGAGGGGCACCTCACGGGGCATGGCGGTCTACCTCTGTAACCCCAGAGACTCGGGAGGCTGAGGCAGGAAGATTCCAAGTTTGAGGCCAGCCTCAGCAACTTAGGGAGAGCCTCAGAAACTTAGCAATATCATTGTATCAGAATAAAAAATAAAATAAAAAGGGCCAGGAGGTGTGGCTCTGTGACAGAGCACCCCTGGGTTCAGTCTCTAGTGCACCCCCCAAAAATGAGAATTTCTGTTCTTGTTCTTTAACAGAAGGTGGCAGGAATCATTGTGGTATGCAGGACTCCCTGCCTCTATTTAGAGATTTATCAGTTTTAATTTTAAATGTGAATAAATACTTAAAATAACGAGCCACAGATCGCCTCCTTTACAATCCCCTCGGCTTGTTTTAGCCATCTACCAAAGCCGTGCACAGGGAGGCAGGGTGTTTCCCGTGTATCCACAGGGTAGCAGGCCACTGTGGCGACTGCAGGAGCAGGTCCGGGCCACCCTCCTGGCACGTGGAGGCCCTGCTGTGGCTGGGCACTGCTCACACCGGTGACTTGCAGGTGCTTCAAGCTGTCCTGCCGAGCTGTGGGAGTCCGCCCGCCTCTGGAGCTGTCCCACTACCAGATCAAGTTTGCGGCCACCTCCCTGTACGACACCTCCGTGGCCAGGCTGCATGTCATCAACCCCCACCCGGGTGGGAGCTCCCTGCCCCGCTCGGGGGCCCGGGTCAGCTCAGAGGAGGCTCCCGCCGGGGGGGCCACGTCTTTTGAGTTTCTGTTGCCCTCGGACTTGCCCATCACCATCTCACCCTTGGTGGGGACCGTGTTGCCAGGAAAGGTGAGCAGGGCCCAGTGCAGTGGGCTGGAGGCGGAGGCCGCCCTGCGGGCTGGGGTGCCTGGTGAGACCCGCCCTGGCACACAGGGACTTAGCCCCAGCAGGGCTGGGGAAGCCTACACAGCCACCGAGGGGGGGTTGGGCCACGTGCCCTCGCCCACCTGCCCTCGGCCACCTGACTGGCAGGCAGGGAGCACCCCCGGCAGCTGCCCCAGCAGGCACATGTCGGGGGGCTCAAGAAGGGTGGGCAGACCTCAGACCACTGAACGAGACCTCACAGTGGATGGGCACGGGGAGGCTCAGGAGGGCCTGTCCAGGAGTCCAGGTGCTCTGCCTGGACCCAGCAGGGCTTCTCTCAGTGGATACAGGCATGTAACATGCTGCTCACTAAACAGAAATGCTACTTAGATCAGGGTGTCCGAGTGGGTGCTGCAGGTGTAGCTGTCTCTCCCTCTCCCTCCCTCCTCCTCTCCCTCCCTCCTCCTCTCTCCCTCTGTCCCATCCTGTGCCGAGCAGGTGGGTGGGGTGGAGAGTGAGCTGGACACTGTCCTGAGGAAGACTTCTCCTGGGACCCGCTGCAGGCGGGCTGACAGAGCCCAGAGGGGAAAGGCTGGTGCACACAGGGAACAGAACTCGCCCGGGCACTCGGGCTGGAAAGGAAGTTTCCTTCTCACTCGAGCCTCAGGGACAGTGGGTGAGGTCCTGGCCACTCGGGACCCTGCCCTCAGTGCCCACCCACATGGTGGAAGGCTGGGTATCCTGTGCTGCAGCCCACCCCCTTTTCTTTGGGGCGGTGGTGGTGGGGCCTTCCTGGAAGGGGCACGTCTAGGCTGAAATCTCAAAGTGGGGAGCTGTTAGGAGTACCCAGGGCCAAGGGAAGGAGCAGGGAGCTGAGGAGGGCAGTGCACCAGCAAGGGCCACCGGTGCCCCCTGGGCTCCTGGAGCAGGGTGGCAGTCCCAGTGTCTCCCTGCAGAGATGCCTGGTCCAGGTGGCCTTCCGGCCTGTGCTGTCCCATGAAGTAATCCACGAGGAAGCTCTCCAGATCCTCAACAAAGAAATTCAGAACAAACTGGTGCGTGGAGCCCCCAGGGAGGGGCAAGGTGGGCATGGGGGAGGGGGGCGGTGCAGGAGCGCAGGGCAGACTCTGGCACTGTCTCAAGAGGGCAGAAGGTCTTCTTGAAGACCCCTCCCTCCTCCTGAAAGCAGCACCGGGCAGTGGGAGTTGGGCCACCCCAGAGGGTGGCCAGGCCTTCGACGTGGGCAGGACTGGGATAAGTGCAAGGGCAGCCTCCCTCCACCACCAGGGGAAGGCACAGGAGCTGCCTCAGGGAGACGCGCCCCACAGACGGCCGGGCACACTGCACTGACCCTGGAGAGCTGTGTGGCCGCTCCTGACTGGCCATGTGTTTTCTGTGGTGCACACCTAGGGAGCATAGGCTTTCTGCAGGTGGAGAGGCTCAGAGAGGCTCCACAGACTCCCTGTCCCTCTTTGCCTCAATTTCCCCATTGCAGACGTGATTCAGTGGGCAGTCTGGGGTCTCTGCACTGGGGCTCATGGCTTGACCCCCAAACCCTGCCCTTGGCCTCTCCTGGAGGCAGTTCCTGGGTCCTGTCTGCTCCAGAGCTGAACTGGTGGGGCCTGCCCCTCAGCAGACAGCTGGGCCTGCGAGACGGGCCCTGGGGGAGCCTCAGGGGCAGTGTGGGGTCTGCAGACACAGGGCAGAGCGCCTGAACAGCCCCACAGCCAGCTGCCCCCTCGCAGTTCCGAAAGGATACATTCAGCCAGAAGAAGGAGCTGTGGAGACAGTCCCTCTCTGTGCTCCGACCGCGGACCCGGGAACGGATGCTGCAGGCTGTCACCTCCCACGCCCCCCAGCAGGAGAAGCAGGAGCTCAGGGTCAGGTGGGCCGGGAGAGGTGGGCCCCAGTGGGCTTCCCCACAGGCCGCCGCCGCACAGCTGCCTGAGACTCGCGCTGGAGGTCAAGGCCTGCGGGCTCCCAGCACCCATCCAGGGGCTCCCTCCTGGGCACCGGCTGCCGTTCTTGGGCCTGGTCACCCTCTGAAGAGGTCCCCTCCCTAGGCTGACTCCAGGGGCTGGAGCAGGGAGGAGCTCCCCGGCCGGAGGAGGGGGGGACCCGCTCATCGCAGAGCAGAGGGCAGCCACCACCCAGGACCCTGACCCCTGTAGTCCCCCCTGGAGAGGCCACTTGAGCCCAGGGTCCTAGGAAGCGGGTCCTTGGGGACCCCTTTCGTGGAGCTCAGGGGGCTCAGCCCAGCAGGGACCTGTGGCCCAGGTGGGCCGTGAGCAGGGGCCACAGCACACTTTGTCCCTCTCGTTCCAGTTCCCATGAGTACCAGGTGGCTCAGTCTGCCCTGGTCCGGACTTTCCAGGCGAAGTTTGACAAGTTTGTGGTCCCATGTGTCGTGGCCAGTGGTGACGTCAAGGACAGGAAGGGATCAGAGCCCCTAAGTTTCAGGTGTGGGACACTGAGCCAGGAAGGGGCAGGGTTAGCTGCAAACTTGCTGCCCCTCCTCAACTCCTGAGCAGACCTGGAGCCCGGGTGGGCCTGGCGGCCCTGCTGTGCCTCCAGCGTGCCCTTGCCTACCCAGCCCCCACAACACCCTGTACCTGGAGCTGTGGTGTCCAGCCGTGGCTCCGTCTATCGTGGTGACGTCTAACAAAGGCAAGACCACCTTCAACTTTGGCGACATTGCTGTAGGTGAGTCCCGACTGACCCTGACATCAGCAGCCCTCCTTCCCCAGCCCAGGGACCCAGACCTACCCAGCCCCCACCAGCCATGCTCCACCCGGGGGACAGCCGCTCCTTGGGCCAGGACTGACAGGACTCTCCCTGCCGTTTCAGGACACCGTGGCATAAAGAAGATCTCCCTCCAGAACATCTGCCCCGAGGACCTGGCCGTATCCTGGCCCACACCTGGCGCAGGCGGCCCCGGGGCGGGAGCAGGTCTGGGTGGGGCTGGGCCAGGCCAGAGCCGTGGGGCCTCCCTCCTTGACGTGGGCCTCAGGTGGAGTTCTCGGTGCTGAACCCCAGCGGCCCCTTCGCTCTGCTGAACCCCTTCAGCAAGCTGTGCTCAGGCGAGACCCAGGTGCTGATGCTGTCCTTCTCACCCCGCGAAAGCCTCCTGGTGAGCGCCAGCCCCCAGACCCTCAGAGCCAGGGTCCTGGGAAGCAGGTGTGGCCTTGGGAGTCCCCGGCTGCAGCCCTGGGCTCTGGGCACTGTGGTCACCACGGCGCCCTCAGGCCCGGACTGATGCAGCCATCTGAGCAGCAGACCCTCCTCATGCCCTGGCTGGCACGTCAGGGGGGGCGAGGGTCTCAGGGCTGTTCTGCAGGGGCAGGCCACCAGGCCGCTGCTCACAGCCAGAACTAGGGCTCACCACGTGCCTGGCAGACAGGAGGCTGCTCCTGGCTAAGGGACGTGGTCTCCTTAGGCTCATGAGACACTGGACATCATCAGCAAGAAAGGCACCCTCACGCTCACCCTCACGGGCCTGGGCGTGGCGTCCATGGTCTCCTGCTCCATTGAAGGCAATGTGCTCAGCATGGGCTATGTGCTGGCCAGAGAGTCCATCTCCTCGAGTTTCAAGGTGAACAGTCCTGCCAGGGGTCAGCCCGGCTTTTAGAAGGCCCAGCTGGCTGGGGAGCCAGAGAGGCTCAGGCTATCCCCAGCTGCTGCCCTCTCGAGCAGGGGACCTGGGGCCCTGGCTTCCGCAAAAGCTGAGGTGGTCCCTTCCTGCGCCCTCCGCCTCGGGGCCTCCGCTTGGAGCCCTCGGCCACCACCCTCCTGCTTTGTACTGAGGGGCAGGAAGTCTATCAGACCTCCAGGAAGAGGCCCCCCGTCCTGTGGGCCCCCGTGCCTGAGGGAGGTCCCGACTCCTGCTGCCCCTCTGAGGGGCGCCCCAGTCTGGGGCTCAAGCAGCTTGAGAGGAGCTCTGCCTCCCAGGCTGCTCAGGTGGGATCCGGAGCAGAGCCAGGGTGGAGGTCCTGTTCAGAAGGGCTCTCGGGGGCAGTGAGGGCGGGCGAGAGACAGTTAGAGAGGAGCTCTGCCTTCAGGACTGAGGGCAGCACCGAGCCGGTCACAGGGCTGGACAGGAAAGTCGGCCACCGACTTGGGCAAGAGCTAAGGTGGGATGGAGGAGCTAACCAAAGCCAAAAGCACTGGTTGGAGACACAGCCAAGTGGAACTGGGAGGTGTAGCCACCTGGTCCCCAGTGGAGTGCCGCTGCAGGCCACCAGATGACAGGCACTGACTACAGGGAGAGGACAGCCCAGGTGCGGGCCAGTTAGTGACACCAGGCCCTCCCGGCAGCTGCAGAACGACTCCTCGCTCCCCATCAAGTTCTCCCTGCGGCTGGAGAGCCTCTCCAGCACCAGGGCCCTGGCCCGACAGCAGCTGCCTCAGTTCCTGGCCTCACCCACCCAGAGGACGGACTTGGTTGGTGAGCTGCTGGGGCTGTGAGGACGGTGCCGGGTGGGCTGCACCTGAAGGGGAGCCTGGAGCTTCAGGAGTGCGGGGGCTGTGGGCAGGACGGGCGGCTGGGCTGGGGGCTCAGGAAGTGGGGGGGACTGGTGTGCAGAGGCACAGGGCCAGAGCGGGAGTCGGGTGGGGAGGTGCTGAGGCTGCAGGTGGAGTTCCAGCAGCAGGACTGGGGACATCCAGTGCCCGACCCGCAGGCCCACAGAACCACAGTGGCCAGAGCGTATTCAGTGTGGTCCCAGTGGAAGGTGTCATGGAGCCAGGGAAGGCGCAGGACTTCACTGTGACCTTCAGCCCGGACCACGAGAGCCTCTACTTCTCTGACCGGCTCCAAGTGGTGCTCTTCGGAAAGGTGCTCCAGGGGACAGCGCCCCCTCCTCCAGGCACCTGCCCCTCCCTAACCCTCCCCTGTGCCTCCCACGTCCCAGGCCAAGGGCACCACATGGGGGGTCATCAGGTGGACAGTCCAGCACCACTGGTCCTAGGGGGCTCCAGTCTGAGCCAGCTTTAGGCCCTGCCTTGGAACTAGAGGGACAGACAACTATGCTTCTCGTCCCCAGAAAATCTCCCACCAGATCCTCCTGCAGGGTGCCGCCCGGGAGCACATGATGTTTGTGGAGGGCGGGGACCCCCTGGACGTGCCCGTGGAGTCTCTCGCTGTGACGTCTGCCCTCGACCCAGAGCACAGAGAGGGTGAGCCTGGCCTGGGGAGGGGAGAGGAGGTCACAGCCACCTCCGGGAGGAGCCGGCAAGTGGGCACACCCAGGCCCCGCAGAGGAGGGCAGGGATTCCCTGCTCATCACCTGCAGAGCCAGGCAGGACTGGCTCTGCCAACCAGCCGCCCTCCAGCCCTCTGCCTGACCCTCGGCAACTGCCCTCACTGCCCTGGGACCCACCAGAGTGGTCCCAGCTAGGCCCTCCCTCCCTCTCCAGACGTGGAGGAGCTGAAACCCATCCTGCTGACCCTGGACTACGTCCAGTTTGACGCAGACACACCGGCCCCACCCGCCACCCGGGAGCTGCAGGTGGGCTGCATCAGGACCACCCAACCATCTCCAAAGAAGGTGATGGCACCCCTGGCCTTCCCTGCCCTGGGCAGCCCTGGCCTCTCCTAGCCTTGACCCTCTAGCTATGCCGACGCCCTGCAGATGGTGGAGTTCAGCCTGGACAGTGTCCCGTGGCTGCAGCACAAGGGCTTCTCCATCGAGCCTTCCAAGGGCATGGTGGAGCGCGGACAGACCAAGACCATCAGCGTCTCCTGGGTGCCCCCTACTGACTTTGATGTAGGTGCCGGAGGGAGCTCCAGCTGGGAGGGTGTCGGGGCAAGACAGGCAGAACGGCAGGAAAGAGGGGCCTCTGCCTGTCTTGGCTGAGACGGGCTGAGAGCCCCCTCCTTCCTATTCCCTCCTGTTCTAGCCGGACCATCCTCTCATGGTATCAGCCCTGTTGCAGCTCAAAGGGGACGTGAAGGAGACCTACAAGGTCATCTTTGTAGCCAATGTGGTGACTGGCCCCTGAGACCAAGGAGCAGCTCCATGAGCCCCTCGCATTCTCCCATCCACCCCTAAAGCCCTCAGAGGCTGTCGGCCTGGCCCAACACCCCAGGGGCCGGGACCTGGGCATCCCCTGCTGGGCAGGTTCAAATAGTCAGCCTCCTGAATGGCCCCACGACCAGGGTTCGCCAATCCACAGCCACTTCCTGCTGCACAGGACTCAACAAGCCCAAGGCCCAAGAGCACCCCTCTCCCTGAGCCCTCAGAACCAGGGATAAGTCTTGGTCAGCTCACACTGCTCCTGGCCAGAGACCCACACTCACCAGAGCCTGCCCAGACTTCAGAGGCCCCTAGGAAAGCCACCCCCACAAGCCTGTCAATAAACTCCAGGAGCCAACCACGCCACTGCAGTATGGATGACCAGCCCAGTGGACAGGATAGAGCTCTGGGAAGTAGCCCCTACACACCTGCGTGCGTGCACATTTATGAAGCAGCAGCCTGCTGGGCGGGGACCTCCTGGATGGTGGGAATCTGCCCAAACACAGGGAGATGCCCAAACCTGGTTCACAGGGACAACAGCAGGCAGCACAGGGTGCTGGGGGCACAGGATTGGAGATGGGACTGACCCAGGCTCCCAGTGGTACAGGGAGGAGGGACTCCAAAATCCAGGGCAGGCCCCTTAGTCCTCCTGGGACCTCCAAAGTCCCAGGACCCTGGCCTCAAACAAGGATTTAGCAAATATGTCGAGGCCCGGCTCACCGGTACTCCTCACTCCCCCTCCAGGGGCCACAATGAGGCCCAGCTTGTGAGTTGGGTTCCACTTGTCTGAGAACCCTGGATTCTGCTTTCTGGGTTCTGATCCACCCTCCAAGGGAGAAGATCACTTCCAGCCCTGAGATGCTCCTACACACCCACCTACCACCTGCTAGCTCTTTTCCTCAAGAGAGTGACTTGCTGGGCACAAAGCCAGCCTGGCCCCCTGCCATCCCAACCCAGGGCCAGCCATCAGGAGCAAATGGAGGGGTAGTGTCTCTGGTGCCTGCCCAGTGCCCTTGGCATCAGAAGCCGGTTGTTGCCTCTGAGTGACATGGACGCTGTAGCATTTTGCAGGATTTCTGTCCAGAAGACCAAAGAGTGACAGACTCAGGCCCCTTGTTGCCCCCACTAGGGCTGACCAGCATTGACTGCCCCCCCTCCCCGCCCCCAGACCCTAGATGTGCTTCCTGGCCAGATGGGAGGGGGTGGCAGGGTCCACTGGCCATGTCAGGCCTCAGAAGGAGGTACTCCACGGAAGATTCTCCCTCCTGTGAGACAGCAGAGCATACCTGGCTCAGGACTCCAGGCTCTGGCCCAGACTCGGGCTGTGCTTGGGTGTCCACTCCTCCTTCCACTCCGGTGCTGGCCCTGCCAGATCAAGCACAGTCAAGGCAGGAGGAAGGAGGGTCAGCAGCCAAGCTCAGCCAGTTGCAGGACAGGCCAGCGCAGCACCAAGGAGACCTAGCGGCACAGGGCCTAGGAGGCCCACTTCAAGCCTGGGTGACCCTGGGCCTGGGAGGCACGGGGCGGGCGGGGCTGCCAGGAGCCCGGCG